CTGCCTGTTTTTTTTGCTGCATTTCTTTATTTAATCATCTTAAGTTAAATAAAAAACAAAGATGACAAGAAGGTAACTTTTTAAGAGAGCAAAACATAATGAAGTAAGGACTAATTAAGGACATAATTGTCCACTAGTGTTGCCGTGGCAACAACATGGTTATGCCAGCATGTGAGAGGCTGTGCTTCTTGGACAAAGAGCTTATAAGATGTAGGTAGAGCAAAGGATGTTAAACTATCGGCGAAGGGGAAACTCTTACTCCAGTAGCGACCCGGTTCAGCGTGTGCTTCACCTCTCGCTGCATCTGCTGTTTTTTATTTAATGGATTCAAACAGATCCTTTTTGTCCAGATCAATTTCTCTTTGTGCTCTCAGCTATTTATAGAGAGGATCAATGGGAAGAAAACAGTGCAGGATTAAAACCGTTTATGGTCGTGTTTAAAGATTTAAATCAGGGGTCTTCAACATTTTCCAGGCCAAGGACCCCAGACTGATGGCGAGATGGAGCGGGGACCCCCTATTTATATATTGTGTATGAAATTGTGTTATATCAGACTGGTCCTATAGTCCCTCTATTACAGATGGAGTAATGTAACAAAAGTAATTTCACCCTGAGGTCATTAAAGTATTTCTGATTCCTCATTGATGGGACAGGTGTTATGAATTCAACACACTTTAGTAACCAGATAAATGGAGGCAGAAGATGTCTTTTAGTCATCAATGCGCACATTCAGCGACACACAGGAGTGACGCACAAGCTGGGCACCGTTTCATTCACGTTAAAGTGTATTTAAAGACATTTAAATTAGTGGAAAAATTTGCAGGGGGAAATATTAAAAAAAAGTATTTTGCTACCCCCTAGGGGTCATGGACCCCATGTTGAGGACCTCTGATTTAAACCAATCAGGTCCCACTGAGCAGCAGGTAGCAAGTAAAGCTACGTTCACACCTAAAGCAGCAAAGGCAACAGGAGCAGCTAGTTTACATGCAAAGTCAATGGTTGATACGTGTCAAGGTGCAGCAAAACGTCCTGCAGCACATTTGGAGCAGCAGGAGCAGCGCGTCTGAGCAGCTCGTTGTGAGATTCTGAGCATCTGACATGCGGGACGCTGAAGTTGGAAATATTAAACTTTTGCTGCCGGATGCATCACATCAACCAATCAGAGAAGCTGATCTGGGAGCTGGAAGGGAGAGAGACTGCGCGCTGCCGATGCAGATCACTATGATCACTCCTCTGAAACAGTTTATTAACGCCTAAATTAACTTAAAATGCCGAAATCTGCC